CGCCCCCTGGTGGACACTAGAGAGAATGCAGCTTTAACACATGAAGCTTTGGCTTCACTCTTCTTACTCAGAGGTTTGCTTCCTGGTTGTATCAGATACCATTAGTAGCAGCGGCAGTACGCGTTTGTCTCACCTGTCCAGCGTCCGTCTTCTCGCTGCACCACTTGCCGAGGTCGGTCATGCAGCGTTTCTGCAGCTCGGGGTCCAACTTCACATCCAGCGCCCTCTGGTGGAGAATCCTCTGAACCTCCACCTTACAGTCCCGAGATAACTGCGAACACACACACATACACATAGAACATATACATATAAGCTGATGACAAAACTCTTATCGGCCGACATACATTTCTTTACTAATATATATCTATGATAAACTAATATTAGCTGATGACGTTGGCTCTAGTTTGACTCACTGACGTCTCACATTACTCCACTCCTAATGTTCAGAGTTACTGTGATTAATTACCAGTTTCTCACTTGTAATTCGTATTATTTCAACATCCAAGTCATACTGTAGTAACGACAGGGAAACTATTTTCATTATCACTCTATTGTTTAAATAAGTTTTAAATAAGTAAGTAAATACATTTTTTTTTTACTGTTATTGTTTCTTCTTTTTCTTCTGTTGTAACTTTTGATCAATCTCTGGCACAACAATTTCCTTTGTGATTATTAAAGTTATCTCTATTCATTTATTTATCTATTTACCAGGGAAAGTTCACATTAATCAATATTTCAAGTCAGCTAGAGAGCTAATCTGCGCCTGCAGTCCGTGAGCAGGTCACACATAACCTTAAATCATCTGTGTGGTGACGTTGTGATTGTGAGCAGAGCACCAAAGAACAGAAAATAATGAAGCCCGCTTGTAGTTCAGTAAAGAATTACTTCGGTCGATCCGTCTACTGAATTTCCACCTAAATTAAATTGATGATTGTAGTCGCTGTTTTTCACACAATCAGCCTCGGCCAATCAGAGACCGGCAGATCAAACCGACAGCATCAATCGAACCCTTCACCCGGATCAATACGACCGAGCACCTACCTGCTCGCCTGGGTTCACCTGTTAGATTTAAGAACATCAGAGAGAGAGAGTTCACCACAGTCTCCCCGTCATCACATCTAAAGGACATTAGAATAAATAGATACACAGAGCTTGTGTTTCTATTCGTACCCGGCGCCCCTGCTCCTCGGTGCGGTAGGCGTGGCGGTACAAGCAGGAGAAGACGGCGCCCGGCGGCATCAGCTCGCTGGTCTCGTTCCAGCCGTGTGTGTGGCAGAGCCGAGCGGCGTCGCCCTGACACTTCTTGTACAGGACGGGGTCCAGCCTGACAAACAAACCACAGGGTTTAGCATTAAACCACCCTTCTCTCCTCCGTGTTACACTTCAGGTTAGAGAAAAGCTTCAGAGTCCTGTGAAAACTAATTATATGAAGATTAAAAGTCACACGGATTCTAAGATTTAAATGTAGATTTCTGTCACAGTTCAGAGATTAAAGTCTGAGGAAACGGTGTTTTTCTTTCTTTCTTTTTCTTTTTCACGATTCAAACCATTATTTTCGCCCTCTGTTTACGCTTTGCTGTGTTCCTTTGAGTTTTAAAGAGCACACTGACCTGATCATTTCTCGCTCTTAAAGGGACAGTTCACCCTAAAATCTGAACGATATATTTTTCCTCTTACCCGGAGTGCTATTTGTCAATCAATATTGTTTTGGAGTCAAACCAACTCGATCATCTAGATTGATAAATAGCACTACAGGTAAAAGGAAAAATATATGCATTTTTTATTTGGGGGGTGAACTGTCCCTTTAAGAGCTAGAAACGATGTGCTGTAAATACAAATTACAACTGAATAATGAAGTAAAGTGGATCCTAAATTAAAGATATTTTTGTCAAACTAATTATCTTAAGATCATAAGTGAACTTTAATCTTTTGTGTCCTGTTGAATATTAATGAAGTCAATAATGTTAAGAAGTTAAAAGAGACTCACTTCCAGTCTCTGGAAATGAAATACTGCAGCTCCAACAGCCGGTGTTCACAGTCCTCCACCATCTTCTCCGTGTACAGGTGCTCCATCAGGCACGACAGGATCCTACACACACACACACACGCACACACGCACACACACACACACTAGAGATGATGAACCTGTGTCTATTAGGACAGCTACACTGGGCTGCGGAGGTACTGCCAAATGGTTCAATTCAATTAAAAAAATGTTTTCATCCTCCAGTGCAAACAACCGGCACTGTTAGCCCCCGTGAGCTACGAGCCAACAGCTCAGCCATCGCCATGTTGAGAACCACGTAGAGGCAAAAGAAAATGCTCCAAATCCAACACATTCTCGTTACCGACTTGTCTAATCTAAGGCCGCTACGCTTCAAGCTGTGACAGTTTTGGACGTGTCAGGGACGACTCGCAACATGCATGTTGTCTTTTCAAAATTAATTTCCACCTTCACGGGAAGTTAGGTCTACTGAGTCACGACAACAATATTAAAAACTCACGTGACAAAAAAGTCAACATTTGCTTTTAGTTTTGCTCAGGACAAGAACAGCGGCCTCCTGGGTGAAAGTCCTGTTTGTTTGACCCGTCCGCCCTCTCTCTCTACACCTCCTCAGTTGCTGTGACCGTCTAACAGAGACACAGGTGTGTTAACGTTGGAGTTATATATATATATATATACATATATATACATATATATACACATACTATTCGTATTAGTTTGTTTCTGCACTGTACTTCTGCTCTTAGATGCACTAATGACTTCTGGTGACTAGTAGTTCTCTTGAACACACTTATTGTAAGTCGCTTAAATGACTTTAATGTAGTGTGTGTGTGTGTGTGTGTGGCTCACATTGGGTCTCCGCTACGGATGTGCTTGCAGGCGGTCTGGATGACGGACTCGCAGGCCTCGTTGAGCGCCCGGTCGATCCGGTAGTCGGCTCCGGGGTCGGCAGACTGGATCAAACTCTGCAGCTGCAAAACAGTAGAGGAACGCTAAATGTCAACATTTATGTTTTTATATTGAATTTATTAATGAACAAGACATACGAGACAATACTGTCTGATTTATGTGATAATTCATAACATTTCAGTTTATATTTGTTACTGTAAGTTTGTAACAAAAACAGATGTTTTCATTTTCAAACATAGTACTTTCACTAGAAAGCAGAATGTCCAGTTTGGTCTCAGCATCCATCTCTATTTTACACAAACATGGAAAGAAGAGTTAACTCATCTGAACGACTTCACACACCTGTTTAGCAATCTCAGTACAAACTGAACAGGCAGCTGTCAACACGTTAAGACGTTAGTGTAGAAGACCTCCACTAGTTGAACTGAATGGTTTTAGATGGAATCCGATAACTATTTTGAGTTATTTAGAAGAAGCAGCCCTGCTGAACTTGATCAGGCCTCACGCTGTCTGCGTCTCTTTAACACTGGAGGTGTTACTCACGGCGCTCTGGCAGACGCCGTCCACGGTGGCGGTGCGGTCGCCGCGTCCGATCCTCATCAGGCAGTGCAGCGTGCGTCCTTTGCGGTGCAGACCGGAGCAGTGTGCCTCGATCTCCATCCGGCAGTGCAGCACGATCTCCGGACTCAGAGAGAAATCCTCCATTAGCATCCGCCGGTAGTCCAGCATCTCGCCCTGACACTCGCCGCTGACCGGACGACCTGCGCGAAATCAAACTATTACGGACACATTTCAAACCCTATTTACCAGGTATTTACTTTTTATTAACATTATAATAACAAACAATATATTCTTCTTACTTAAAGCTGCATTCATTTACGTTTTCGGAGGCCGCAGGGCATCGTGTTAACAAACGCAACACTGACATGTAATCTAAGTATAAAGCAAGGTCTCTCTCTGTCTCTGTCTCTCTCTCTTTCTTTCTTTTTAAGGAAACAGAGGTGTAAATCCCGCCTCCTCCCCCATCTCACCGCGGTGCACTGCAGCCTCCAGGCACAGCAGCAGGTACGACAGCCGGGCCTCGCGGGCCCTCGGCAGGTTGGTGTCCAGGCTGCAGCGCTGCTTCCTCAGGTCCAGCTTACAGGCTTTGGCCAGAGAGTAGCTGACTTTGTAGTCCTGAGAGATCAGCTTCTGACGGGTGGTCAGAGCGTCGCGGCACTGCGGAGGAAGAGGAGGGGGGAGTGTTAGAGACCGAAAAATGAGCTCGCCCATGATCCCAAAACACAAACCGATGGTTGGTCGTACCTTTTCTGACATGGCCTCCTCGAACTTGTGGTTGAACAGACACTTGTAGACTTTCCCTTCTCCTGCCTGAGTCTGTGGAGAGGAGCAACAAAAGATATCACGACATATATCATTGTTTGTTGGTAAACATGTTGTCATGGAATATGGTGGAAGGTTTTTCCAACTGGCCAAGGATGTAGAAACTTTTGACAGGTTTTCTTAAAAGGGAAAATTCACCAACTTTTATGTGTATCAGTGTTGATGTTAAATGTAGTCAATGAGGAGGAGTGACGTAGAGACCTGTCAATCATTGTGTAGCCTAAAGCATCCCCTGCTTTATGGTCTGTTTGACTCTAAATGGACCA